AGTTTTATGAGTTCTCTTGAGGTGGAGACGACAACACTACACTAGTACTTAGGAGTGGTGCATGCTGGGACAATATTTAGGTGCTGCTGCAACAGTTTTTTTTGCAATGCTACATAGACGTGAAAAAATAATTGTTTTTCGAATCTTCTGCACGATGACTTGTAATAAATACCATGGATATAATGCAGCAGCAGCAAATGGATATAATTTCAATATGGCAATTTTTATTAGCATCATATGCATATCGTTTTCTATATTTGAGGCAAAAGAATGAAAGCGTGATTTCAGCATGAGCAGTGGTCCCAAGTGGATCACTGACTAACACAACTGCTGTAATCCCTCTGCAGACACAAAAGATTAAAAATTTCAGTATGTGCCAAGATCTTTTAATGTTAACGTAGCAAATGTGATGCAAGCAAGCAAGCAAGCAAGCAAGCAAGCAAGCGAGCAAGCAAGCAAGCAACAAAACAACAGAACCAGGATTGTACTCCTTCCGATTATGTACAGGGGTTTTTCTAAAACGGGGAACACAGACGCAGCACCCTGATACTCTTGGCTGGCGCCCTCTTACTGATTGAACTTCCAATTCATAAATATATTTCTTGAGCCGTGCACTTCCGTGCTGCCGTACAACATAAAATCTTTCTCAAACATATTTTTCACTGAAAACTTCCCAGCAACACCAGCTGACAATGTGTCTGGACACCAAATACACTAAAATTACTCCAAAAATATTTCACTTGCGATAGATACACCATTAAAACAGTGCAGAAACTTTCTGATATGGAGTTTCCTGGTTGATCTGCCATGTTGCTCCGCTCCCTCGCCTGTATGTGCTCCCTCTTGTTCATTCTTTCTAGATAAACCCTGATGGTATTTTTCACAACTAAATGTTACAGTAGACCCTTTCTTTTGTTGCAGTACATTTCATTAACCCCATTTTGTATATTGATACATCCCACTTAACCCATTTCTGAAATAGTATATTTTTCTCTTACCTCCTGTAGGGTAAACTTTTTTTTCCTGTGCATTATATTTGCTTTGTCTTTGTTGAATATCTTGCTATAGACGCAGCACTTCTCAGTAGAGAAGTTTTTTGATCGACAGTCAACATTGGTGGCTTCAGAATTTGGGTTAGATCTGTACCTTCCAAACCAATCATTATGAACTGGAAGACTATTATTAGATGACAATTATGATGTAAGAAAAATAAAATACACATAAATGAAGAAAAGATCAGAATTTCTATATTTGCTATATTGGAAACACATCTTTATAAATTGCAGGTATTCCAAAAACTATTGTATACTAGATTATTCAGATACAAGTTATTTTGAGCATAGACAAGTCAATATGCTACTAGCAGAGCAAATGCACTAGATAACAGGTTTATTATTGCGTTTTTATTCAGTCCTAAACCTGGACTGATATTGCTTTGTGATGAAAATTCATAATGACTTGAGAAAAGCCTGAATCATGATCTGTTACGACAGATAAGATTAAATATTGATCAAAGAAATATATTTAGTACATTTACCTCATCGAGTTCCCCTTTTCTGTTCTATTCCAGTTAAATTTTACTTGTTTCTTTTCATGGTGGGTTTCTCTTCCTCTTCCCCGTGCAGGTTTCATTTGTTTCCTCTCTTTGCGGCTGGTACCAGATGGAACTGATTCAGACATACCTATAAACAGATAAAAATCATAATGAAAGAACAGAACTCGGTGCTTGCCCATCACTTCTGTGGATAGCTATGCATGATATTGTATGTAATTTGACAAACACAAATTTAGTATTTTGAGAGAAATTACATTATAATGTGATTGATATGAGTGTTCTCCCCAGTATATGCCACAGTGCTATGTTTTTACGAACACACTGGTCTAACATCGCCATTATTGATACCGCTACACTCATTCATTTCCACAGCATCATTGGGTTCTGCTCAATATCTATTACCGTATTTATCCGGGTATAAGCCCAGGGTCCTGAACATGGAAAATTGCCAAAAAATAGGGGTGGGCGTTTGTTAGGAGATCCCCGACAAAAAAAATTGACAACACGCAGATCGAACTGCGGCAGGAAATATGACGGCAAATGAAAACATGCAACGGAAATAAATGAACAATATGCAGCATTAGAAGTAAAACAAAATTAATGTATTGCTTATAATGTGACAAATAAACCAGAAATATCAAAAATCGACAGTGAGGAATCGATTGAATTAGGATTTTCCTGCCGACAAACACGCCCAATACGTGTGAACTCAAAATGAATTAAAATGTCAGGGGTTAAACTGCGTGAAATGATTTCCGGTCTCGACAAATTACGAATCAACTGTCACACAAGATCAATAATAATTTACAAATTTACATAGTAAAAATTATAAAAATTCATAGGTGTTTGAAAAAACTTCTCAGATCTTTATTTGTACGTTCATTGCCATCTTCGTCAAACTCAAATCCCTCAAAGTCCAAGTCGGCGTCACTGTAGCCGTCAAACAAAATCCCTACAACTTCTTCCTGAAGTTCGTCGATCACAATTTGGACTTTTAATCCACGGATTTCGCAGTCTGTCAGCTTGGCACTTTTCATTCATGTCTAATCACATTAAAGAGACAAGAAAAATGGGGTCGCGCTGCTGCGATGCTTTTGTTTACAGTCTGGCAATCATTTTTGACCTTTATGCATCTGCTTTACTGATTGGCTAAGAATGACATCACTACTAGAATTTCATCATAAAGGTCAAATCGTGACATTGCTTTCTTATTAGACTTGACGCTTATCAATCACGGTGAAAGTTATTATTCAGCAAGTTCCAGGGGTTTGAATGTCTCACTATATGGATATCGCGGAGGATATCCAACGACAGAAGAATAGTTTTCATGACAGAAATGCAATAGCGGTGATGAAAGATGGTAAAAAAGTTGGCAGTCTTCGGCGTGACATTGCAAAATTGCTGGCCCCAGTTATGGATTTGCGAGCTGCTCCCATTAATAATGTGATTTCAACCACTCTCCAAGGTACGGGTTGCTACAATATTGCAACATTGGTTTCATTGTCGACGACGCTGAAGCCGACCGAGTGCAACACTTGCTTAGCGGCTCTCCTTATACGAATTTCTTGAATCGTTTCTAAGGAAGCACAAACCAAAAGGCCGGCCCTTTTTAGGGCCTCGACATATTTCAAATTGAAAAAGAGAACTATCGTTTCTGCTTTAATATATATTTTTATAGACTTGCTGACTGTTATGATTCTGAAAAAAATCAGTGGTGAACAGAAAGCTGTCACAGCTATTTCACATTCACCCCTTGTTTTACGCAATTAACAATTATATTAAAGAAATTTTTATAAGCATCACGACAGACTTCAAGAAAGTCAACTGTTAATACAACCACAGTCAATGAATAGAAAATAGTTTGTTTTGTTTTTTTGTGTAGAAAAAGACCCCCTGGGCGTGTGCCCGGATATGACCTCAACTTCTTTATTGTGTCAAAAGTGGGGGGCGGGCGTTTGCCCAGGCATGGGCTCATACCCGGATATATATGGTACTTGCACGTGACAAGCCAAACACCCTGCCAATATGGCATCATTACCTCCAGTTGAAAAATTTGATTTCCGGGCAGCACGGGCAAATGGTAAAACCAGAACACTACAACTTGATCAATGCTTACTTTTAAGGTAGTGAGAGGGGGGAAACAAGAGAAACAAACCATGCATGACACAGTCTCTGTTAGTTTTTAAATTTAAGATGTATATCTTTGTTTATGGTAATATAGTTGGATTTTTTTTTATAGTAACATAGCTGCTTGATTATGATGATTTTTTTAACAATAAAATGGTTGACATTCAGTCATCTTGTATCTGATCTTGAAACAAGTACTTCTCCAAATTGAGAGATATTGCTCTGGAAAAGCATTAATTAGAACAAATTGGCCACTAGTCGGCCATTTTGATTACATCTCTGTATCTATGACATGATGTATAATGAATATATACAATCTGAACATAATCAGTCAAAGCAAGTCGGAGATATGGCACTAGAACCATATTCATTAAAACAAAATGGCCGCCAGTCTGTCATTTTAAAACCGATGACATGCATCAAGAACCCATAATGTCCAATGTATGTAAAAAGTTTCAACAAAATCTGTAAACTGTTGAGATTCAGTTCCGGAATGCCAGAAATGATTTTTTAGTACAAAAATGGCAGTCATTTGGCCATCTTGGATCAGAAGGTGAAACCAATTGAAGTGAATTTGCATAGTACATTTTTGTACATGTACTGTGAAATTAATTTTCGCTGAAAAAGCTTTTTGGATGTTTTGTTGGGAATTTATTTTCACTGATTTTTGATGAGTTGAATGTGAGACATAGAAAAAAAAGTATATTCGCTGATTTTATTTTCACTGAAGCATTCCTTTAGTGAAAATAAGTTCCAAGCGGAAATAAAGTATTACATATGATATAGGTCCAGAAGCATGCACAATCCATAAATCCCTGCATCTGAACAGGGACTAACAATTTTCTGAGACAGCCATGAAATTTTGAATTGATTTGTCTCCATGTTGCATGTATTATTTAAAATGTCTTTTTCAAAAATAATATACGCTAATACACTTTCTTCATATACTACATAACAATCTCAAACATAGCTACGTTAAATTGTTTTTATCAGAAGCATAACAATCAACCAGGGATCTCGCCAGCCCAACGTGAGTGCCGGTTGGTCATGAATATTAATGAGCTATATGAATATTAATTAGCAATGAATATTAACTAGTTCGGTCGCAGTGCAAATATTTTTGGGATTAGACATTATGTTTCACAATTTAGAAGAGTTTGAATTTAAAAATTAAATATATTTGAAATGCAAATGATGCAGACTAAAAAACAGAAACAAATAAATTAATGTTGCAATATTAATGTATATTGTAAAAAGTTAAATAAAACGCATTTGAAACGTTTCAGCCAGGAATATTTTCACGATCACGTAATTGTTGTTGTAATTTATTATTCGTACCATCAATTTCTAAAACGTATATATTCACAGTAATGAACGAACAAATAAAACTTCCGAACTTTCAAAGTTACGACGTAACATAACTAACTTCGCGATGTTATACACCGATTATACCAATAATTCCTCTTACTCAGTCATGATGCCAAGCAAAAAATGTTACATCGTTTTTTTTACAAGAAATAAAAGTAAAATTTGATTTAGTTTTAGTGGATATTTTTGATCACTCGATCGCTACGGTAAAAAACACAGCCCGCCATGTTTGTGACGTATTAGTTGGCCGGCATGTGTCCTTCGACCTGATGGGTCAATAATTCCATTAACCAATCAGAATGCTGCATGGTAATGCCCGTAGAATCTGAAGTTTTCCCAAATGGTAGTGATCACAAAAATTAAATTGCGGAAGTAAAGCGATGTCGCAGCACGATGTGTTGACTTCGATTTCAGTTGAAAACTGTACGATGGTTATTGAAAGAAGTGATTAGCAATTTTTAAAAGGTAAAATAGGTCTTGAAAGAAGAGTTTTTTACATGAATCGCGATGATAACAGTTCAAATGTATTTTACCAAATCACGCAATAAACACGTTGATTTTTTTCTTGAGTAGCGTAAACTGTCAGATCATGAATTTTGAGTGCTAATTTTGAGTGCCGGTCGGGGACGACCACCGCCGACCAGCGTGGCGAGAACCCTGATAAACTCTAACATCTCCATAGGCAGAGTAAGGCAAGTAAATGGATGCTGTAATGATGACCCGCCACATGTTTAGAATCAAAGAAAGCTTAGAAAGAACTCCTGCGTGCTGAGAGTATTGAAGACACATTCAAAATTAATTCAAAATTACTTGTACATGTACTTGAGATATTGATGGAATAGCTGAAAACTATGTAAATCAGGTAACTGATATGAACAGATTTGAGTGTAAAACTAATAAGGCCTGCGTAATGTAATATCTATGTACAAAGTTTCATTGAAATGTGATTATAACAAAAAAACTATGAATTATTAGAGAATTAATATAAACAAATTTCAACCCAAAATTAATCGGGCCTGTCTATTGTTCTAGAGCATTCATGTACCAAATTTTATTTAAATGTCATGATCAGTAATTGAGATTAATTAATTATTTTAATTAGGTGATTAATAAGCATATTAAACATTTACTAAAAACTAATTGCGTCTCTGCATAGTCCTAGGTTCATTGAAATGTGATGATGAATACTCTTTAAAAGTTTCATTAAAACCCAATTCGTGGTTTTTTATATACTGTGGAATATTTTATTTACGTGATTTCAAGATACCCGGCACTTTCGCGGGATTTTATTCTTGCGTAGTTGAATAGAGAATTCGCGGGATTAACTTCCAGGATCAACACTTGCCCAGTTGTGCAGGAAATGCTCCAGATTTTGATTAGTGAAAGCAGAAGCTACTTATTGTTTGAATGAAAAATAATCACACCTTCCTAGGTCTAGACATCGATACAAAAGTCAGTACCTGTTTTAATAATAGATCATATTAACGCCAAAGTACAAAGGTTTTTACCTTTAAAAACCAGTGATTTTCATCAAGTTTGTCAGTTTAATTTACGTTCGAGTACTGTATACACCATGTCTCTGATAACGAATTGGCTAAAGCAAGTTAATCCACCGTCATTCCCGGGTCTTTG